CATACGGATCATTTTCATTTTGAAGCAAGATTAAAGAAGACGTAACCTTAAACGAACGTCTTGGGAAAACCTTGTAAGAGAAGGAATAATTTAGATTTCTCAAAAATAACACAACCGAGAAGTCTATGAGTATAATTTAAAAAAATTCAATTTTAAATCAAACTTTTCACGAAGCAGAATCAATGTTTTTAAAGGTCATTTTTCACCGACTGATTGACAAAAATGTGTGAGAACTTCTCTCTGCAAACGCCACCAAAACCTAGACTTGTGAAGTCACTAAAACATATCTCAGATGTCTGAAAACGCGCAACATTGTGCCGCATGAATAGCATGCCCTGCCGTCCTTGCCTGAAAACGTACTAGAAATACAGGGTAGGAGAGGCGATACAATTTACTTGAAGCGTTAAATCTGCTTGATGTTTAAAACGTGCAAATTAACTTCGAGAAATATTGACTGTTTCGTGAATGTCTGTATTAAAGATTCGCAATTCGTTATTTTGTTAATTCATAATTGTTATTTTAAAGTTTCGTTTTATTCATGTTTAGAAACTTGGTTGTTCGAAATTATGAAGTTGCTTAATTGTATGGAGTTTTTTGTTTTGTTATTTCATGAGTACCTATGTAATAAGTGATTTTCTTTCATTTCGTAGGTCTAGAAATTGTCAAAACTCCTGAGCACGCTCTCTAAAAGGATTGTAGGCCTAGTTTTTAGACTAATATCAAGGTTTTGAATAGCCGTTTAACGTAGATTATTTTGCAAATTAGTCCATTGTTACTGGTAGTTATTTGTAACGATGAGATTGAGTTTGCCTGTCAAATTGTATTGTGTATGTTTGCGTGTGTGAGTGTATGCAATACGTATGCTGACCGTGTACCTGACATGGCTCCTCAATCACGATGCTAAAAGAAACGTGATTCAGCCTGTTGTCCGGCGTGACGTACCGCGTCTAACCCGCGGGACACGACAGATTGCACCTGAATAGCAGATAATGGCGTGAGGTTACAGGAAGATCCCGTGATTTGAACTGCACAATATTTGAATTTGCGTACAATAATATAATATATATTTATAATTTTGAAAGTACGCATAAATTGACGGCAAACTAAGCAACCTCTGGCCTTGTGAGAGGTGTCAATTGTTTCGTTAGATATCCGGGAACTCGAGAAAAAACACAAAAGTGAAACTATCGATTTTGAATGAAAATTCCAATGTTTTATAATGTTAATCCTCAGTATCCCATATTTAATTTTAAGACTATTTTTGTTCTGTAAGCGTCATTGCATCGTCCTGGATAGCGGAGGTCGCTAAGGCTGAAGGGCTGTAGCTGCCTCGGCTCGAAGGGTTGCGGTTTCGAATCCTGCCTGGGGCGTCGCTGTTTGAGTGTGTTCATGTTGTCCTTATGTGTTCTTCCTACAGTTAAACCAATCACTGTGGCCGCTATATGACCAAGTTGTTAAAAAGCGACGCTATTTATACAGCTGATTTCATGTGACGGGGAAAAAAGAAACATTAGTATTCACATGAGCCGCTTGAGAACAGTCAATTTTCGCTGCTGCAGAACACCACACACTCGGTAGCAATATTTTTGCTGCTGCAGGCCTCGCAGTATATTTTATTTCTAGGAGATATCTTATTTTGGAGAGGAACCTTTTTCCGTTGAAGTTCTGCGCCGTTTAAGAAAAGAATGGTATCGTTGAAAGATGTTTGTTCGGAGCAAGGTCGACGATAACTGATATTGGTTACATATCATTCTTATTTAGCAATAAAATATTAAAATTATAAATGCACTGCCTGCAAGGCGCGACTCCATGGCGTAAACGGTAGCGTACTGCCGTAATAAGGTAGATGGTTCAGAAAGTTTTATTGCTGGTCAGGTATTTTTATGCCATGTTAGATATAAAAATGCATTGGAAATATTGCTGCACTTACACAAGTTTGTTTTCAGTAATTCGCGGAAATAAAATTCCCGATTCTCTCAGAAAACTTAGAAATAAGAGCAAAACAACACTTCACCATAAAACTATTTTCTCCGAGCGTCTTACTCTGAAATTAAAATACTAATATTTTAAACATTATAATTTTTCAATAAGAGAATTGTACGTTATTTCAATAATTAACTGTTTTTTCATGCTTTCAATGCGCGAATCTTTTAATTTCTAATTGTAATTTTAGCAAATTCGAATGTTTCGCATCATTGACCGTTACTAGTGAAAATATGGAGTCTCGTAGCTGCTGAAGAATCACAACTTCACTAAGAAACATTTCGGAAATTTTAAAAGAAAGAATTCTTATACTTCGCTACAAAAATGTAATGCAGTTTAATCCCTGCGAAAAATTGTCTGAGTAGAACAGAAATACATCAATGAAACAATTTTTTTCCAAACATTCAATAATTCTGGTCATCAGAAGTTAGATTAGTGCCCTTAAATTAAATTTTAAATATATGCTATGACCAGCTTCTGATTTCGAATTTACAAAGAGCGTTCAATGCCAGGATCTCGTTTGAATTATAAATATAAAATAAAACTAATTTATAACTGTTATGAACTGCTTAATTTATATAAAAAAGTTATACAATGAAAATGTTTTTCTCTTAGGCGTAATTGCTTTCGGAACCCTGACATCCTAAATTATGTTTAAAAACTTTTGCATCAAATCTTCCACTCTCTCCAGATCTTGCCGATGATTCGATGCAGGACAGGAGGGATGGTAAACGTAGGAATATTATGGACTGAGCGGTCTGGAATTCAGGAGGAAAACCGCCTAGGGCAGACGTACTCATTAGACATTCAAAAGCTGTTTTCACTTCGGGGGAATAATGCAGAAGGCTGTGAAATTTGACATCGGTCGATAATTAAGGGCACAGAGATTCTCTTTAGGCAGAGACTTTGTTCGTGCAGATTTCAAAAAGTTATGGTCACATGGTACACGCTGAAAAACATATTGTTTGATGTTGACAGTTTAGAAAGTATGTCTCTGTAATCTGAAGCATTGTTCTTAAGCCAAATCGTCTTTATGGTGGCTGCCGTGTATTAAATCATTAGGCTGTTTATTTTGTTTTAAGGTTGTGCAGCGAGTACTTTGTAAATGAAATGTCACTGATGCTTTCATTTGTAACAATTGTTAGCCGAAGTTTTTTTGGAAATCCTTGTACGTAAAGGACCGAATACAAACGACTTCGAATATGAGAGTGTGTGTTTTCTATGCCTGTCATCTATTCTTCAGCGGCTAGGGAATTTATTTTATGAAGTAAGAAGAGATTGGAGTCAACCTAATTATAAAGTTTTTGTTTTTTGTTTTGTATGTGAGAAGAAAACGAAGGTTTCTGTATATACACTGCTGCGGCATTCTCTACGTTTATTATAGTTTGGGTTTTCGTTGTGTTGCTCCGAGCCCTTTAATTGTAAGTGGGCGCAATTTCCGAGGCCCCGCCGCCGCGCGTGGAGCGTGGGAGGGCCGGGCGGACGCGAGGCAGAACCTCTCCCGTGCGCCGCTGCGCGGAGGCTGCGCGCGTGGGCAGGAGACTCGAACGCTCGAACAGCCGAGGAACCTCGGGCCCCGGCCGACGCGGCGCGGCACGGCGGGATGGATGGCCAGCCGGCTCTTCCTTTAATAGGCCCGGTCCTCCTCCCATTGTGCGCGCACACACGTCCGCCCCCGCTACGGCTCCGCAGCGGAGGAGCGCCTGGTTGCTCGTCGGCCGGCCGGTTGGTCACCCGCCCGCCCCACCCGTCCCGACCCCCTCGCCCGGCCCGAGCGAGCGGAGGCGCGCGCGCGCCCACAATAGCGCCCAAATGACCGGCGATAGCGATCGCGCGGCGCGACGCTCCTCTGCTTCCCTCTCTCCGCCTCCGCCCCCGCGCCCGCGTCCTCCGTCCCGGATGCCTCGCGCCGCCATCAAAGCAGCCGGATTACAAACAGAAATCGTGTGCGCGGCTGAGCGCTGGGCGGCCGGGCACCGCGGGCGGGCTCGGGCACGGGCACGGGCGGGCGCGGTCCAAAGCCATGAATAGACTGTCCCCGACGCTAATTACGACACGCCGCGCCACGCCGCGCCACGCCGCTCGCCCGGGTTCCTCAGCAGAGCGTGGCCGCAAGAACGCCCCCACACGACGGCTTCACTGCTGTGGATGCACTGCACGCCGATTTGATCCGACTCCTGATTAACTGAGGCAGTCTTAACTCCGAAAACAAACAAAAAAACATGAAAATAACCTGTTAAAAACGGAGCATATAAGTGTGTAAATTAGTTTCTGTGGTTGTAGTGTGCCGCCGTGTTCAAAGAATCAAGAAATTCCTCGGATTTCGTAATACGTTTTTCGATTTCGAGGTAGTCTCAGTGCCAGTTACCTAAAATGATAACAAGTATACTAATGTAAGTTCGCTGGGCCAGATATCTAACTCTGATCGCTATTTGTTTATTTACTGATCTTACAATAAGATCACTAATTCAGATACGCTAACTCACGTGGATGCTTTTACAAGCATCTTGGTAGATTAAGTGCCAAGTGAGTTCTTTGTCACACTCATTTGCTCGTACAAAATTAATTCGTTCGAAATAATTAAGAAATGTGATTCAAATTTCTGATTGGTCTGAGAGCTTAAAATAATCATTGTAGTGGATATTAAATGTAAGAGAACATGATTCCCTTTCAGAAATAAGTACGAATGATAGACGATTAATGTTACTGTATAAATACAGTATTGCTCTGTTTCAACATGTGGCTTTTATGTCTTGATATCAAAAAGATATGTGTTATTAAAGATTTCATACGAAACATGCAACTTTAATAACTGTTGAGAAAACGCCAAGGGCACGATCTGATTTGACTTAATTTCACTCCGGTTATTTCTACTCGGTTTCTGTATTCTTGACTCGTGGACTGTTTGTTTTACTTGTCGGCGTGAGAACGAAACAGTCTTGTGGAAGTAGCATCTGTTGTATCTTTAGTTTTAAACCTCGTTCGTTCGTTCGTTTCCTTCCTTACTCGCTCGCAGCATGTGGGCTGTCGGCAGGCGATGTGAGGACCACCACTGTGGGTTCACTTGAACTCTTACGCGGACTACTCTTACGCGAGAGTTCCTCAATGTGATCGAAAACCTATTGTCACGACTCAATTTCACCGTTTAACCCAAGGACCTAGTGGGCTCCGATTCCGATTTGTACCCTAGGTAGTCGCGTTGTCAGAATTGGAGAGTTAAGTTTCATACGGATCTAACAAGAGCCGTATTGAAACCTACCTTAATGTTTTTCACAGATGTTAAGGGTTACAAGTTCCTATTATAGTGTTAGCCGTCGAAACAAATTGCAATTTACTCACACTGTATAATGAAGTGTACCACTTTCACTTAATTTTATTGCATGAAACTTCCGTTTGCCTAGATCTCCCTTGTCGCCACATAAGCTAAGCACAGTTCGGTCGCACAAGCGACCGTAGAGTTGAGTATACCATGTGATTGCTCTTCTGTTCGTCTTTGTGCGCACCACTGGAAATAATTTCGATATTTGTGTGTTTTAGAGTAACTTTCAGTTACGTTTGGCAGTTAAAATTTTACATATGAGCCATATGTGAACTTAACTATCACTGAACCGCCTTTTATGTGTCAAAATCATGATTTCTCAGCTTATAGTTTTAAATATATGTGAGCCCAGTTCAATATGCTTCAAAAACTTCTAGGGATAACTGAAGATCATGTCAGATGTGTGTCAGTGTACTCCCAAAAATTAAGTAGTCATGGGTATGTGTCCAGTACCTGGTAATTTAGGCCTTTTATGTTTAGAAATAAGTAATTTTTCACAAACTCCAAGAAATCAATTACTCTATAGATGTAATTTCAAAGTTTTGTGGGGATGAAAACAAAACAATGTTAGAGGGATGCTTTTTATAGCACTTTATAACAGTTCACGTTTAGTTTACAAACCTCTTATAAAGTGCTAAAACAAGAGTGTTCGGGATATAGTATGTATGTACTGACAGCAACGGCGAATATAAAAAATTAGTAGAACTTACTATAGTTACATTTTGTGAAATGTAATTTACTTTCATATTGAAGGCCAAAATATTTCAACTCCCCAACAGACACTATCTGAACACACTACCAATATGACACAAAGTTAAAAATGGAAATAAAAAAATAGTGAGCGCGAAACAGGGCCCACGTGTCGAACTGTTTGGAAGAATAAATATGGAATGTAAGGAAGAAACGTAGCAGTGAGGGACATGGAACTTATATGTATTAAAGTGAAGGGGAACAACTCGTTAATGGAAAACGTATAGCAAGGAAGTTGTCGATATGTGGACAGTTTGCCAAATAAATTGTTTTTTGGTGTACATTTTAAGTAAATGTAAATTTTGCTTTGTTTACACAAACCACTTACTTGGTACCACTTAGTCTTGTGAAACTAAATGGTTGAGTTTTCTTTCGGAGAAGCTCAAGAACGGAACTCACACAAGGTAGGGTTGTTTGTTTGTTAGTTTTTTTAATTTGTTTTATTTTAGAAGAGACTTCAGCGTGTCAGTCATCACCCTAACTTCGTACTTGACTCGAAAACATCAGTTAGCGAAGAATATTTCTCTACTCGCTGTTTGATCGTTTATCTTTAAAAAACTCCGCGTGTTGCTGGATTGTGAGCGAAGTGTAATGTCGAGGGCTGCGATATTTTTGCTTATTCCGCTCGCGTAAAAGTAATATGGAAGTTGCCCCGGCTCCATCTGTCGCCACGTGACTAATGAGACAGTTCGACGGAAGATCACACAGCTGCCGCCTGAACAAAGACCGCAGATTCATGTGAAGTCTCGACGGGAAGGACTTGTCAAAATCACCGTGAAATGACGTCATAATGCGCATTTCCACTTTAATTGGTCATTAGTGACTTCTTTTCAGGGCACTGTCAATTTTCGAGTTCTTACGAATGACAAGTTAGCTCAAACCCGACGTGTTCGCCAGTTCATCGAAAATGTGCTGCGGGGTGATAAAAATGCATTAGATCCTCCAATGAATTGTAATTCGTTTTTGGTGTCTTTTTGATAAATTGGAGAAATTTGATGTAGTTAAAAATATACTAATTTTGGTCTCCTTGTGGAAAAAGTATGGAAAGTTGTAAAAGAAATGGTTTCTTCAAGAGAAAAAGTTTTGATTCGTGTGACTGGGTAGTCTTAATTGATGAAAACAGTATATTTAATGCGTAAATGCATTATTCTTCGCAAATGTAAAAGAAATATTTCATTAATTGCGATGAAAACGATTGTTTTTTGTTGGGTACTATGTAGGCTACTTTTCTGAGATCCTTATTTTGTACAAGAAAAAGCAGAAAGTTCCCTTGTTTGCTTATACAAATCTGTAGTTTTATTCCTATAGTATTACATTTTAGACGGAGCTGGGTGGATTAGTAGCTGAGTAGCTGAGTGGCGATCGATGTGAGGCGAAAGTATAAATAAATTTACTTTAATTTTACACAGTGTACTAATAGACTTATTCCTGTTTTGTCTCGTATATGTGCATGAAAGATTCAATTCAAAAGGGACAGTTCTTTCGTTCAGTGTGGTGACGTGCGTGGCGTGTGGTGTGCAGGGTCGGGCGCAGTGGCGCTGGCGCACCTGGACGGCGCGGGCACCGACGAGGCCGTGTCCACCATGGTGCAGCGCGTGCAGGAGCTGGCCATGGCCTACCCCGACGGCCGCCTCGAGCTGCAGCTGGTGGGCGGCTTCTCCGACAGCCGACACTACTCGGAGGAGCTCTTCTACAACATCATGCGTGAGTACCTACGCTCCACACGCATCATTGTATTCATTCATTCGGGTTTAGAAGGTCCTTCAACTGCTGAGGTCTGAGAGGCCCTTGAGCAGCGATGTAATTGGTAGACGATAGTAATAATGATGATGAGATGAACGGTGATGGAGAATGTGGAATGAGAGACAGGAGAAACGGGAGAACCCTGAGTAAATCTGCGGAAAGCTCTTTGGCCGCTACAAGTTCCAAATAGATTGGCCGAGACTTGAAGCCGCACCCCAGCGGTCGAATGCGTCTGCGCTCGCCCTTGCGCCACCAGTCTCTCATGGTAGTCACCCCTCATGGTTGCAACTAAATGCCACGAGTGCACAACACCCTCATCGCTACTACTGGTTTGGATATACTTACGAAGTGGCGGTCTCTTGTAAATTATTGCCGGCAATGTTTCTTTCCCGTGTCATCAGTGATGTCCAGGTTGCCTACGGTGGCAGTAGCACGCCTCGAGATACCGTATGCCATTAGCTTGGCGTAACTAGTGGGCAAATAAGGCGTGATCAGCAAGTCCAAGGTTTGCTGGACTTTCGAGGTGGAGGATCATACTTCTGAATCTGAAAACTTAAGAGAGTCGAAGCAGTTTATTACTGCACTTGCACACACGCAGTAACCGTAGAAGAAATCAGAAAATTACGATATCAAGTTAAAATTATCCTTCATTTTGATAGGAACAAATATGCCAATTCGAGTTCTTATAAAAATAAGTTTTCAAATTTGTATCACCAGTTTAAAACTTAAATCTAATTTCTTATTGTAAGTACTCGTATTTATGTGCATCTTTCTTGTTGTTCACAGCGTACAAGGTATAATATGAAATCTAGTTTATTACTAAGTATTGATTCAAATTGTGAACTGACAGACTTGTTATTCTCAACGCGTTGCGTTCACCGCCTACAGTGCACTAGGACGTACAGTACGTTGTCATGAGTTAATGAAGACTGAAGGAGTGAGGGGTTTACCTAATGACCTCGGCGAGTTCCAACGTACTCTTCGAAGAGATTTCAAACACGGCTATGCCATTATCTTAAAACCTTTTAAATCAATTGGTTTAATGTATGTATGCTATGACAGTTTAAGCGAAACTTATAAATTTAAATCTAAAAGTGCATTCTTGAGGATATCAGATTCTCCTTTGTCCAGTTGCGTACAGAATACTTTGTCAGAAGAGTGCAAGATACGGCATATTAATGGCATTTGTATCACATGTGGGAAGAGCTGGAATCCCTCTCCTCCTCAAAAAGCATTTGGTGTTGCGAGGGCGCATTTTGTCTATAAATAAAATTAACTGTGTGAAGATGGCAGAGAAGACTCTACAAAAACACTAGAACATAAAATGAGAAAATCCAAACTATGATATTCAGATGAGCGGAAAAATAAACAGGAGTGTGTGCATACCAAACGATTGTTCGTTAGTACGGTGGATAACTGTTGTTATAAGTTGCTCATGTTCAGTACTTTCTTTTATATCAATTAGTATCGTGTTAAATGTGTACGCTCTTCATTTCTTCGTTATGTTCTAAAATGAATTTTATTCTTAATTGTATTTTGTATGAAAGGAATTATACACTTTGGCCTTAGTTATTTTGCAATCGATTATACTTCCTGAGAAAATTACTGAAAATGTATTTATTATTTAACATGAAGTAAAAAATACAGCTGAGCGATGGAAATTATATTAGTATTAAAATACAAGACAATGTCAGTGCTTCATTGCTTCATAATGAGGACCGGTGGACGATGTGGGGGAGGTTCTGGGCGCCTGACGGGCGCAGCAGCGCTGGAGCGGACAGAGTTTCCAATTTCACCAAAGGTTCTTTCGCTGCTACCCTCCGACCTTGCTCCTCTTCTCTGAAAACGAAGCAATTGACTTTCAGGCCAGCTGTTGCTCCCCAAATACTTAAACGTCGTGGTCATAATTTAGTTTTCGCGAGTTACGCCTAATATTGTTCAATTCACGGATTACGACGAACATTTCAAGGCGTGAGGGCAGTCCTCTTCGAGAGAAACTGCTTACTTGACTTAGCCTCGCTCAGATAAACTCCGACCTTCTCGTATCATCGCCTGTTTTTGTTGTTGATGCAACGACCGAGTTGGTATCCTCGTTAGGCAGATAAAATGTCGCGCTACACAGATCTTGGAAACTTGAGCGTGTACTTACACGTCAGTGGATCTATTTTTATTCCAGTGGAATCATTCCTCGACGTAGTGCATCTATAATGTTACTTTTATTAAAATTACGAATTGTGGTGGTAATTAATTAATAAAAGACTAGGAAAGCTATCTACCAGGTTTATGTCGATTGCCGCATTTGACAATCTAGCCACACCCACTTAATTAAGTTAATTTTCATTTATACCTTGACAATGCGAGAGTAGGCATTTCAATCAATGAATGGGGCAGTTCATTGTTCCATGCCTGCTGTCAGTTCACTCAAGAGTAACTGTGAGCTATGACTCCCCATTGAAGAGTTCATCACTGTCCCAGCCTGTCATGTACTCTGATATGTGATTGTATGATTAATGTTGTTGAAGATTTGTCTGTGTCGGCTTTCGGAAGCTTCGGACTGGTTGAGCAAATCTCATTAATTAACTAAATCTGACAGTTCTTTCACTTTCTTGTTTTTTTTTAATTATCTCAAAACACCTTCATATTAAAAATTAAATCCAGTTTTCCTGCTTGGCTACAGCAAAGTCGAATAGAAGTTCCTAACATGCTAAAACCTACCTAAAATATCTTGCGAATTTGGAAAATGAAGATGTAAAGACTTAAAAATGATATCCTCCTCAAAGTCAACACGGTTTTCAACATGGAATAGCGATCTAATCACTTCTTCAGTCAAAGGATTAACATGATTTATCGCGAATTTTATTACTTTCTAAGCACACTTGAAAGAGGAATTCGCCTGGATTTTGTTAAGCATTTTTTAAAAAGCAGAATCCATTCATCAGTATAATTCATGCAATCTCTTATTATGAGTTACTTCCTCTATATCCTGGAAGATGGAAATTAGATTCATGCGCTTTAACTCCATGTTACTCCGTCATAAACCGTATAGAATACGTGATACATGGCTCGCTCGGAAAGAGAATTGTATCGCGTACAACCGATCTGCGGAAGATTACGGCAGCGTCCGTGTGATGTATATCTTTCCTTGTGTGCAGCACGGGGATTGCTTGGAATGCCTCCCGGGAGATTCAGATAGCGCGCTGTCCCATGGTTTTTGACAAATAGGCGCCCCGTCCCCCCGCGTCCATATGTGAGGGGGGGCGGAGGGGGCGCGTGAGTAATGGCCCCGCCGAGGGAGCCTCCCGGGGCCGCCCTGACGCAGACGGATGGCGCGCTCCCCCGCGCATCAATAATCATTTCAATAACGCCCAATACTGTCACACTTTTGTCTGCCTGGGGACAGCGCGCTGCCGCTGCTCCTTCGGCGGTCCTCGCGTTTAGCCCAACGCAAAGGCGTGGATCGTTTTAATCACAGTCGTGCCTCCCCATCCTCCGCTCCCGCCCCCAGTTGTCTTACGTAAAAACACTCAATTACTGCTTAAAATAGAACACTCAAACATTTTAAAATTTACAGTGATGATAAATGCATAAGCACAATAGTCAATCGGTATACTGTTACAACATCTATGTTTGAGTAAGTATTATTGAGTAAGGGAATATGATTTGAAAAGCAAAATCGGCGTTTTAGTTACAAATTATTGGCTCCAAAACGCTACTCGCATGTGTCATGATGATAGACAGAATTTTTCATGTACTGTCAAATGCTAAAATATGCATGCAAACATGGACTGTCATGTAGTCAAACATGTACGATGTAGGGTAAAAATTGACAAAACATACATAATCAAATTTGTGTTTATTTATCTAGTTTTATTGCCTTCTGTAAAAATGTGCAATTAACATTTTTTTTCTTATTTTTAGTCTGTCAGATCCATCCTTTAGCCAGAAACAAATGTTTTTGAATGTAGAAAATGCTTTCTACATCACAAGACGTATTTGGAGTAGACTTCAGAGATGAAATCTGAGCCAGTGTGAGATCAAATTTTGTGTTTTCTGATTTTCACTACAAATATTTTAAATTTCAGAGAAATTTCTTGTCAGGGTTTGGATTTAAATCTTTATATAATTTCTCCTTAGCAGTTACTCAAGTCGTATTATCACATCACTAAACCTAGTTTCAAAGATATGTAATGTTAACAATTGTTAATGATGCAATGTCCAGCTCTTTGACAGTCGCCGTGCCTGTGTCTGCTGTGATGGAGCAGCTTGTTTGAATTTCATACCCAGAAGTAACATTAAAACTCAATTTTCCCCAAAGACAATTTTTTTCCTCTTTAAACTGAAAATTCTTTTACAAGTAAAAATCATCCATAAATAAAATTTAATGGATAGAGAGACTCATAAAATAAGTTGCCACTTGTTTTAGATTGTGCACATGTATGGTAATATTACTTCAACATACAATGTAAAATATTAAAAATGTATAAGAAGACTTGAAGAGGATTAAGATTGTATTGTGAACCTATACATTAAATTTATTACTATCTAATAGTTACACCTGTAGGTAATTTTTCTGAAGAATTCTGAAAATAAGGTATTTTCTGATAAGATATTCTCTTGGCTAAGCAAAAATAAGGTATTCCCTGATTCTAATACTTTATTTAAATTTCAGATGCATTCCATCGTCAGATTGTGGAGATCGACTTGACGATGGCATGTGTAGGAGAGGTGAACACCACTATTCGGGGTGGCATTCATTGGCCTATCCTGTATGGAGTGGGTAAGCGTTTAATCTCTTATTCTAAACCGAATAAAAACATCCCAGTTCAGTACAGTTTTTCGTCATCGACATGGACTTCCGTATTTCAATTTGGGGAATTGCCACGTCCAATATTAGCCAATTAATTTCAATTACTTTATGTATCATTTTATTACAATAAAAATTTCCTTAATTATTATTAATAATTTTCTAATGAAATATCTAATAATTTAGATTGTTAATTACCTAAATATTTAATAATGAAAGCATTTTAACACAATGAGCTGCAATTAGATTGTATATACTGCTGTATAAATTGGTGTTGTTAATGTTAAAATTTTTGCAACATCTAATTGGACATCTTTTTGGTAACAGGTATCAATATCAAGACTGGTGAGTTGTTTCCTGCACAGTTCCCCGACAAGGGGCCCGACCTGGCTCTCCGATGGGCTAGGCATCTCGCAGGGGGACAGCAGGTGAGACTGAAGACACAAAACAGTTCACAAATCATTTGTAAGGTAGTAATAGCAACTCGTCACTGATGTTTCATTGCCTTTATAGTAGTTAAGAAATCAATATGTTACATCTAATGGAGGTGTTTTTCTTCACTATATCAAATTGTGTGATTAATTGTATCATAGGTCCACCAAATTCAACTTTTCAGAGAAAATATTGAAGAAAATTGTATTTGTGCTATTAAGTCTTATATTTGTATTTTCACATTGACATACTGAGAGTAAGTGGCGTCCCAATTCAAAGTACCTTATTTCCAGAACTTGACCTCGCCAGGGAAACATTGATATTATTAATGAAGCATTAGATTTCTTCTATAACATGCACAGAGACTGGGAAAGTTACATTGTCAAATACCATATTTATTAAGGTAAAATGTATGCTAGTGTAAACAGTGAAAAATAACGTATTCCAAGGACTTAATTATAATTAAAAAACTCAGACACATTTTCTGTGGGGCATTTAGCTGAACTCTGTGATTTATGAGACATTAATTTAAATAAATTCTCTCTTGTTTATAAGCGACTGCAAAAAGGTAGTATATTTTTGGCATATTCATTACCTTTGGGGTGAAGTGTGCTTTTTAATTTCTGTTGCCATCAAGCAGTGGATGTTCCTTCTCAGGCATTTTCCTGATCTGTTAAGGAACAGAGGATCCTCTGTTGGATGGCACACATAGTAGACAACTTTAAAAGAAATTTCTGTTTCTTGATGATAAGATTGCAATACAATGATCATTGAAGTGTCCTTGTCTGTGATGTGGTTCAGTTCATCTTCGTCAGTGTGCATACTTCGTTTGTTGTAATGAGAGATAAAATTGGCCCTACCTGTGCCCTGATTTGTACTGTAGTATTTTCAAAATCAAATTGCCTTATGTTAGGACATGAGAAAGTAGAACTGTCTTTCGTATTACTATTGCAGTGTCTCTCCCTGGCTGTGGGTTCTGTTGGTTCAGTATATGATGAATGTTGGGAATTTTGCAGGTTGGAACCAAGTTTCTTGGAACAGAAGAACATGTATTTTGAAGTTAGTTAACTATTGTTTTATATCAGGCCTTATGCCTCTTAATCATCCCCCACCACACCTAGGACAGAGACATTACATCATGTGATGGCCACCCTGCGAACTGATGTGATTGGTGATAGAGTGGACACTCATTTTCACCGTCACTGTTATCATGTTATCATCACAGTCTTCATCTAGCTCAGTGTCAGAGCAATTTCCAATTGATATAATGATAAGATTTATTTCTCTATCCATAATATGATCAGTTTTTGCATAATTTTGTACTTGACTACACCTTTTTTTCATTGATCAAATAAATATTTCTAAAACAGTTTTCAACACAAATTTTCTTTAGAATCTGGAGATGGATTCAGACATTGTGTTGCATCAGGGTTCTTGATAAAACTCCGTATTAATTCAACCGGATTCAGGTCAGGATAGTGTGGAGGTCAGGTCACGAAGGTGCATGCGACCATGCTGCGTGACACTTTCATCTATTACATACCTTTCAGGGCTGTTCATTTGTTTCACAATCTGCGGAAGTTCAGCTTTAGTAAAGGAAGGCATGCACTCAATATTGATTTTTCAACCCCTGAATGTAATATTTTTCTTCCGTGAAGCACCTGTGGGTTTCTTATTTTCTGCAACATTGTGATAAGAAGCATTTTCTATCACTGTAATACTTATTTTACCAATTCATTAAGTCATTTGGCAAATGTCTTAATGTTCATAGACACATTATAAAGACATGTTCTTTGTCCCGAATTTGAAAACCATCATTTACAAATACTTCACCTCCTCTGTGCATAATTGTCAATCTTCACCCCTTTTCTATTTTAAGAGTTGTTCCCATTTCTTTTTCAGATTGCCAGCATTATGTCACCAAATGCGATTTTTATACATATGTTTCAGAAGTAGGTACACAATATTCCATCCATCTTGTCTGTATTTCCAAATTTCAGTTAAATATTTCTTATCCAAGAAACAATTCTGCCCACTCAAAGAATTGGGAACTGCCCACTCAGCTTAACTTTTTCCCAATGGAAACACCATGGGTGTTTATTAATTTTTATTTTATTTTAGTTTTTATTTAGTTTTTTTAAGTCTTAATTTTTAAGAATTCTTGACTGCAATATAACATATTGTCATGAAGGGAGTCGAGCAACTTGTGAATTTTGTGACACTTTATTTTACAGTATAAAAGAAGTTAATCTTTTGTCTAATTGCTCTGTCAATGAAAGTTTCAGCTACAATTTTTCAGTAATCAATATTACATTACTCCCCTTACATTTTTTCTTTATACTTTTGGTATTGGTGTTATTTATTACCCACATTTCAAATGAACATCTTGAGAAATTTTATTTTGGGAGATTGTACTAGAGAATAAGGTTAAAAAAACAACAACAAATAACAAAGTCTTCACTTCCAAACTTTATTTTCACCAACATGATTGGGAGTACTTTGTCCAAGAGGGGATGTTCATTTCACTTTCAATTAAATGAGAGTGAGTCAGATTTAAATAAGTAGTTTGAACAATTCTTAAAAAAAACAAAAATCAGTTAAATGATAAAATATTGTGATGAAAAAAATATTGTTTGAAAGTGAAGATTTTGTTATTTTATTTCTTATTGTGTTTGACATATTTGTTATAGACTTGTTTTCAGGTTTTGGACATCTATGACTGCAGTTTAGGTATGTTGCGTATTGGCCCCTTCAACTATGAACCTTTACGAGGAGTGGATCTATGGTTAGAACAGTCTGATGATTTTATTCTGCAACATCTATCCACCTCACCAGAAGTAGAATCACCTCATTTTGTTATGCAGGTTTGTGAATCAGTTATTTATAGAAAATCCTAAAAAATTGTAATAATTGCGAGGAAATAATATTACTAATTTTCAATGATCACAGAAATTGAAAGAAAACTATACAGCCACCAGCCTTGTGAGAAATCTATGATTTAGTTTGATACCAGGACCTCTACAAAAACAATGAAACCGTCTCAAACAATTCAAAACAATACAAACAAATAATGAAGCAATTGGGACTGAAAAATACAAATATTCAATTGTGTTTTTTCACCTATTTCAATACTGCATATGCAAATGTAATTCTGTTATTCAGTGCATCACTACTTATGATGCAGATGTCATACAATAGCAAGGCTCCAAGGAAGATACTACCTCATTTTAAATATTTACTATTCAAATGTTGCCTTAAACAACTACTTTTGGGGGGTTCTTGATATATAAAGAATACAATAGTGTACTTATTGTTTACTATATTATTGTAACATTTGTAAAGACTGTTTTTGTTAAAATATTTCTGTTATTGCTGTGTTATTTGAGAGTATTTTAATTGTTGTTCTTGAGCAGTGCAGATGCTACTTTTTGGAATATCATCTTGTGTGCATTTGTTCAGCACTATTTTTCCAGTACACTAGAATAAAATGGTGTTAAATTATCAGGATATGAATAAGGAAGCTATTGAATGAATCCTTACCACAAGAAAAAATTTTAATAGAATTCTCTTACTTCTACAACAACAACAACTATAACCCTTTTACCCTTTAACATGAACGCATGGCTTACATATAGAATGCTTAGAAGAATCATTTAGTACCGTTTGAAAGTCCTATTGAAACATTATTAATCTAAATCACTAGATCACTTTTAAAAATAATAATTTATTCTCAAGAAGATTGATTTTCTTGATATATTAAATATGTTCTACTGGATGTAAGGAGGAACAAGATGTGAAGAATTTATACACAAGTAAACGGAAAAACAAAATGTGAAATGAACTTATTCACACAAATGGTTGTAACAAGGAAAATAGATGAGTGTCAAATATATTAATTTAGCTACCAGATTAATGCATGACAAAAATACATTTCCTTGTACTGTACTTCTTGCAAATCTCAATAGTCACATACTTGTTTATTATATTTACTTTTACAAATTTGTTACAAATTTTACCAAATCACACCATTGGTAATTTAATGTGTGTTACCTGTCTGCACTCTGAAATAAAATGAACCCCCTTATTTCAAGTGGCCCAACTCAATTTATGCTCTGGCTTTCATTATATTTATTTTTATATGAATGGCCTCACTCGTCATACAGTATAAACATGTCTGGCTTGAAGGTCAAATTCGACAATGACTTAACAAAGACTGTAGTTTTAAAGCACATTTTTAGAATACACCCCAGATTCTTTTACTATCATCCACCTCTACTTTGGGTTCTAATGCGTGAATCATGGCTACATAATCCAGACGTTTTTTGTTTTTGTTTGAAAAATATATGGTATCTTTCTACAGTGTGGAAAACATTAGCACTCATAGTTTTAGTGATAATTCACTGCAAACCATGATTGTATATTAAATTCATTAGGTTTTATTGCAATGAACTGACTAAGGACATTTAGTCTGGAAGAAAAAATAGCTCTTTATCAACTCTATTCTCCTGTTTTATTGTTCAATTACAGTTTGAACAGTATTTAAACATCTGATTCGAAGCAAGACATTTTTTAAGATTAAAGGTGAAAATTTTTGCTTTCCTTTTCGAATCTCAAATATTCAAATCAATTCTAAAATCATGCAGCGAGATGAATCAAGCACTTAATCACCTTAAGTGTGAAATGCCCTCTTGTTCATGAAATTTCTTTTCTAAACTCAAGTGTTTCTCTTTATCTCAATGATTTGAAGACATCAATTCTAATAAAAATCATGAGTTTTTAAAAGGAATTAAAATTATATTTAGATTTAAATTAGATTTATTGGTTTGGGATTTGGTCGAATGCCCAGAATTATTCCCCCCGTAAACCAAGTCTTTTGATGCGACACTCAATAATATATTTTCACTTTAAAATAAATTTTACTTCCTTGAATATGTATGTACAGAGTAAGTTAGTTCATTTTCTGAGTAGAGAAAGTTACATAATGCGGCAAAAAATTAGATTGGGTAGCTTGGATGGGATTGGGCTTTAGACTGGGCGGACCCTAGAGCCCTGAAACCCAGAGCACAAAATAGCACCGGTGAGGGGCATGAATAACATCCATATTTTGTTCCACATTACTAGGGAGCACTGAAGATGAGGTAAAATTCCTTGAAACATGTGTGCTGGAATGTGAGATCTGAATTTAATGTAAAATACATTTTTATTGTGGAAGATTAGGAAGAATAAAAGTGGAAGAAATGTACACTCTTTAGAAAGTATTCAAAATACTAGGAATCATTTTTGAAAATGTTCAAGTGTTGAATGACATGAAATATGGGATAAAGAGGAGTTGCAAAGATGACTTCTTAATGTTCTAAGTAAATTTTATTATTTTCAGAAGATATATGTTTAGATGCTTCAGTACTTTTAACACACAGTAAATACAGTCACTAATCACTAACTTGTACCTTTAGAAAAAGTTTCGAGCACTTAAATAGTACCAGGAGTTAAAACTATGCTGTCAAAATGATGCCTGGAGTTGAAATGAAATGCATTCTATCATTTATTTAAGAATTTAAGTAGTTGGACAAATGTAAAGGAACGAAGTTCATTTTTCAAGTTATCAAAATTAAGGAAATAAAGAGTGTATTGTTATTGAAGACAATTAATTAGATTATTTATATTTGTATTGCTACTCCCAGATGGAACAAAAATTTATTTGTTGCTTTTCACTGCTATATCTGAGTTCATAACGCAGTGTGGCAATGTGAAAGCTTCTTTCTTGTAGTGACTGCCAAATAAATGGTGGAAGTGGTTGTGATGGGCTTACTGACAGGTATCCTGAACCCATAGAGTCATTAGGTTGAGACGTCATTGTAGGCTCTAGCCTCATAAGGCTGTAGTGCCAGCGTTCATACATACATTTAGTATGTGTTAAATTGTGACCTGAATTGAAATTTATTATCAAATGTGAGATCAATATTCTGGACATGTATTTCCTCAGAAAGATATTCTTGTAGCTTTCAGAAGCACATTATGTTTCAGAATGTGAGTTATTGCTTTTGTACTAGTGTCATTCAGGTAATATTTAAATGAACTATGATGATTAACTGACTTATGATTTTCCTATCTGGAATGTTACACTAAAAAGAACTACTTGGCTGATGCTTTTATATCTTTTTCGAATCCTTAGTCTTTTATATTCTTTGACAATTCATTAATTTTCTTTCAAAAATGACTTGCAATTTGGGAAGTTTAATAGATACGGATTCAGAATACTATTTATGATAATTCATGATGAATTGAATTGATGACAGAGCAAATAATTAATCATACACACAGAGAAAGATAATTGGAGTGATGATTAAGCTACTATTTTATTCAACTGTTGTAATTTAGATGCAAAATTTTTTTTCTGTTTTCCACATTCACTTTAATGAGTTAAAAGTATCTTTGCCAGCCTATGTCACAAAAACAAATATGACATATAATATAACAAATTGGTTTCAAAATCAGCTTTTGCAGTCTTGATGAGGCAATTATGTATGGGGAAAAAATCCATGGTATTCACTGTGAGAAAAAGTATCAAGTAGGGCTGAAAACATTAATATTGGAATAGAGAATTCCATATACTGGGTGCATGTAGGAAAATTAATATGTCAACCAAAACTGGAGCAAAAATGTATATTTTTATGTACTTTCTGAATTAACTGATATGTGTTTGATAATTCTGCTACTTTATTACTACTACTTAAGCACAGCTAAGTATTGTCATGGCGGTTAATGTCTTTATCTTGCAACTGCATCTTTTCAGGCTGTTTTATTTTCAAACCATTAGTGATTCTTCCCTTACATGATTGCACCTATTACATCACCCTTATTTTATTTAAGTAAAGAACCTTGCGTAAAGTTGGGTTAAGCATGTAAGCATGAGAAGATTCAATATATGTTGAGAGTTTGCTTGGAAAGTGAAAATTCTAAATCACATTTCTTTTTGTTTTCAACAGGTGCGGCAAACATTAAAATATATCCAGGAACATCCATTCCCTGCAGTGACTGTTTTCCGTGACAACAGACCACATTATTATCGACGAGATGAAGCAAGTGGCCATTGGACACCTATTCGTTTTTGAGTTACAAACTTGTACATTTAGCTTCTTGTCGGGAGGTGTTGAGTGATGCAAGACATGGAGACCGACTTCTTGCCTTGTGCATCTGTGCTAAGGTGTTAAATAACCACAACATATAAGTAAATATCAAAATTTAATTAGTTATTAATCTTTATAATTGTTGACATTGATATACTGCATCTTCAATATCATGAACCTACTTACATCAGTGTTAATGCAATCTGGCAGCAGTGCAAAAGAGGATGTCTGTAGTATCAAGAAAGACTGAACAGATAAGAAAATGCTCACAATTTAATAAAGCACCAAGAGAAGCTTTTATGTAGTTGTTTGCAAAGGAGGACATAATTGAAATGTTTCTTTCTGTGAATATGAACTTGTAGGAATTCACAATTGAGTGCATTGTGGTGTTACCTGCTTTTATTGATAAACCCATTATGATGACGATTATAAAGGCAGGTGATTGCGAAGTCAAGCATTGTTATGATTCCAGCTGTACTTGCCTCTTCGCTCGTTTAATGATGTTAAATCGCCATCCCTTCTGCATGTTATTTCTGTGTTTTTTGTTTTCTGAACAGTAGGACCAGTGCAATTTGGTGATAATTGCATCAATTTACTCCGAGGCAAAAATTCATCTGCCACAAACTGCTCACATAGTGGCAGATCCAACAATTTCTCTTATTGCTTAATTGAAATGAGATTATTTGCTGTATAAACTTAAATAAAACATTCTTCCTTATGATTTCATATTTTCTTGAGAGAAATATGTGAAATAAATATGTGTTTGAAATGAAATTGCTTCAATGAGAGAATTTGTCTCATCACTTCATGCTATTTGCCACTGGGCATGCAAATTGATGCTATAAAGTCTACATTTGTTTGTAACTGGCTAGTGCTTTCCAATACAGAAGCACATAACATGTTGCTTGTTGTTTGTTTACCTCAACAGACTAGTTTGTTCTGTCACTTACTTTTTGCTTATTAGAGAATACTTCTGATAAGTGGTGGAGCACATTAAATCTTTAACAAAGTGTGTTTTCAAATTCAGACATTTATAAATTTGTTTGGAACTGTGATTGTTACTCACTATTATATAGTGCACAACAGGTATCACCAATAATTTTTCTGTGTGGTTCTTATTATTTGAATTATTAACTATTTCACTTTCCTAAGAACACAATCCTACACTTCTCTTTAATTCATATTTTTTACATAAATTGATCATATGTTATAGTAATAAAATATATTAGGTCTTATGTTCCATGAATTATTTAAATGGTCTTCATATATATGGTAACTTCATTTGCTGAATTAAAACAGCTCTCATTTGCTTCTTTATTTTTTTTAGAAAAAATGGCCCTCAGGGGATATTTTCAGAAAATTGTTTGTATTTCTTTAATTATGACATTGCAGATAAGATAATTTTTGGTCAGAAAAAGTTTCAGACTATTATGTTCTGCAAAATCAGATAGCATTTAAAATAGTTTGGTGCATTGATATTGGTGATATTTGGTATGTACTGTCATTGTTTGCTTGTAAACTGAATAATAAATTAATTATACAAATAGCATTGTCTCTTTATTGTACTTCAAAATGTCCATAATGTAGAACTGGTTATGTTCAGTATTCCTAAGGACATATGAGACATGAAATTTTCATTATAGTTTCAGATGTAGTTACATCTTGTAAATTTATACAACTGGATAGGTAATATAAGTAACATTGTAACCTTGTGCCATAAGAATTTTCAGTTACTTAATAAATTGCATGTTAATCTCATCACATAACATTTCCAGGTTCAGGCTTTGCTACTTAGATTATTATTGGCATATTACTTATGATGTACATTCTTGCTGTATGAATAATAGTTCTGAACATGCAGGTTTACGTGATTCAATTGCTCTTCATTCTTATGGTTCAGTTTATCTTACTTCAGTTTCAGACTTATTTCAGTTTCACAAAATAGTCTGTCCTGTTTTTATGAGAATATAAGCACACCGTGTACATATTTTAGCTGAAAGATAGCATGGAATAAAATATTTTTAGATACAAGAAGAATATATTTAAAGAGTGTTCTGTTTATGAAGAAAAAATATTTGATTTTACATTTTAAAGGACTGTGTAAATGACTGTGTGCTGGATGTTGAGTTTTATATTTTATAGTTGCATAATAACTTGTTTAAAAATATTTGAAAATGGGTGTTAACAATATAAAATGCTATTATTCAGAAATATTGTGAACAGTGTATGTGAATGTGTACTATTTGAATGACATTTTTCTGGAGTATGCAGTGGCTTTGGCTTCAGTTTGGGTGTGGTTACTTCTGTTAATCTTTCAAACTAGTATATAAAATTATAAAATATACTTGTATATTATATCTTTGAGACAAAATTTTTAAATAGTCACAGAGTAGATTTCAGTCATCACAGCAATTGGAGAGCTTTTTGGAAATGTAATGAACAATATGGTGATGTATAATTAGATGGTTGTATCTCATAAAGTAAACATCATTTCTTTTATAGATAATGCCAAGAAGAGTTATACTGGAATTCTGATAATCCGAGGGCAGTGCTTTACATTTAAATGATTAAATATGCAATTGATATATTAATTCTAAATTCTGTTTTAAGAGATCAGAATGTAGATTTTTTATTGTTTACTACTTTATTGATATTTCCATATTACTTTAATGCAGTCTTCAAAATGCAGTAAATCACAAATGAAATGTTTCATTTTATTACAAAACTGAAAAGTACCTGTCGATTAACTACAAAGAAATATTGTAGTTATGTTAGTGTATATTTATGTTGTCATGAAGTTGCATTTTACTTCCAAAGCGACCTTATTATTTTCAAAGATGAAATAAATTTATGGGAGAAATGTAAATAAAATAAACAGATGTTCAGTCACTTTTGGGAAAAATTATTTAAATATTGAATTTGCAAGATTCATTCAGTGTCCTTTAATTCATACCAGCTAGCTTATATATTTGTTGTTTCTTACATTGTTGAAATTCAGTTAAGATTATGGAAATTTAAGATATTAAACAATTTGCTTTTATCAAGGACAATATTTCTATTATTACATCTACATCACAAAAAAGGGTTCTAAGTTCAAGAAAATGTTTCATAATGGGGGTGTGATAATGCTTGCAGAAATTTCTGTACTAGTAAACAAAGAATACTTCATGCAACCATTACATAAACAAGAGAAATCACAAACTGGCAAGCTTATACGTTTTAAGGAAATAACTGTTTATTGTTAAGATGAAAAGACTAAATGATAAAAAAAATATGAACAACTTGCTGAATTTCACTTATGATCAGATGGCATTCTTCATAAATTTTGTATTAGAGATAACAGTCAAGACATTTTATCCAGACCCTAAGTTTCAGACTTTGTTTGGATTATCATACATTTATAGAATTTGGTTAATCTTTTAAAAAATTATTCTTGTGAACTAAAAATGTCCTGTTTGAAAAACTTAAATTTGATTGATAACAACTGAAAACTTTTAAACTCACTGTATTTTATGAATTAGAGCCAACTGTTCCAAGAGCCACTGCTATTTTCTCATTACATTGAAAGAGTTAATCTGGGTATTGTTATATATTTGTTTACATTTTTTCATGTATTTTGTTTGTGTCTTGTATCAAATCACAGAAGGTTCCTTTTATCCATCAAAGATATTACATACAAATGATCATTGGTTTCTGTTAAAAGTTTTGCAAATTTGTATTCAGTTGCTTGGAATAAAATTCACATATACATTTACTGTTGTTTTTTTTCTATTAGTGTATTAATCCCTTTGAATACATTTTAGATTTTTGTGTAGTAAGTGATCAGTATACTACTTCAAGATTCTCATTTCAATATTTGATATTCAAGTTTGTATTATTTTTCAATATTTTGTCCATGTTGTTTGTTTTACAATTGTTTTTGAACAAAGATTATTTAATAGGTACCTTTGACGATATTGTACATTAAATTTAACTTTTATCCCTAAAGTAATAAACTATTCCATTTCATATTCTGTGATAGGAACTTTGCTTCTAGAAAATTTACAATTTAATACTCATACAATGTTCTGATTTTTAATACTCATACAAGAGATCTGAATTGGAATTAAATTTTTATTAATTTTAGCAATTAGCAAAAAGAATAATTGCATGTCATTTTTGTTAAATAGAAAGCTTGTTTTCAGTAATAAAATGATAAGACATTCTACCTTCCTAAAATTAAAAAAAATAACAAATAACAATTTATTCCAAATTACCAAATTTTGTAATTTCAAAATACCCTATTGGTGTTTGAGAATCATAAGTAATGCAAATTTTTCTCCATGAGCATGATATTAAATATTTTGGAGCATTTATTCACATGTAATGAAATAAGCAACTCAGTTCTATATAGCTTACTAGTTATTGTAGTTTTGAAACAAGCAATTGTGGGTAGTCAAATAGTGCTATTGCTAATGAATACAAACAAGTGTCAATGTTATTGTATAACGTGATAGTGTAGTTTACCTTTGATTTTTATTGGTGGACTTCATATTTTTAAGTCCTCAAACTTTTATTTTAGGTGCCTGTATTGGACTCTTAAAAGGTTGAAAATAGGTGTTCAAATTTCTTTAGTAGCCTGTATAAATTAAATTGAAAATAACTTTTCACATTATAAGACTTCAATTTGCTTTATTGGCATAATTATTTAAATATCACTTTTTGTCACACTAAACTACACAGCTATGAAAAGTGTAGTAGTATCAGCTTCTAACAGATTGATGCAGTGTGTTGACAAGTATTAAATTTTGGCGAAGTTGAATTGAATGCTTACCTATTTAAGTATGGTTGACTAAAATGGCTCTTTATTTATTTATGTCAAAAGCAGTTAAAATCTGTGTGTGATGTGCTATTGGTAGAAGATAATTTGAAGTTACATTTATGTAACGTTTCCCTTCATGTTCAACATATGCTTCCCTTTGTGTTTAAAAGAATGAAATTAGATTATTCAATGTCACACAAGAACGCTTTTATTTTTCAACATTTTAGTACTTAAGTGGTTTACTTACAGGCAGAGAGAACAGGGAGATGTAATTTGGTAGAATTTTTTATTGAATTTTGTGGCTCCTAAGATTTACAGCGTAATTGGCCAACTTGAGGAAATTTCTATGAAGTAAACATGCACAAATAATTTGGGTTTTAATTAGAGACAAATGGCAGTGGTAATTTGTATACATACTTCTTGCGAGCTTATAAATAATAGAATTGTGTTTGAGAGGATTTGATTAGGAAAAAAACTTGTAAAGAGTCAAAATAATTTTTAAAGTTCAAAAATGGAATTATTAACAGAAAATGAGGCATTTTTAGGCTGAAATAGACACATTAAAACAAATTTCAATGAAACAAAATATTGTGTTGTATACCTGTGCCTATCTACTAATTTTGTATTGAAAATTGTTAAAAAAAGTATCTTAAAAAAAAGAAATGTGATTTTGACTAAGTGTCATTTGTAATATACAACCACAACCACAACCATGTTGGGGAGAGGGGGTATAAAGCCCCTTGAAAATGTTGAAAGGGTCCCCTGCAGTATTATGTAATAGAACATTTTATTTTTATAAATATGTCCAGGCCCTGAGTTTTGCCTTTTTTAACCTGGTAATTAGGAGAACTGTTTTACATTTGGGGAAGAAACTCTCCATGCTATCTGGCAATAGTAGTAGAATATAAAATCAATTACATTTATTGATTTTTTAAATTAAGATACAAATTCATTCTCAAGGAGACATCAAGAAGTTTAAGGAGCCTAAAACTGAAACTGGACCCCTGGCTTCCTTTAGATAATGCAAGTAGTATATACCTTAGGAATACATGAATAAATTCCACCTCCAGAAGACACCGCCTTGAAGTAGCCAGAAGTAGCACTGTTCGTGCGGGCGAGGAGGTTTGGTACTCCAATGAAGTCGAGAGTATTATGGGGGTAGCGGTGCTGGCAGGTTGGTAAACTTGTCAGTACTTCTGCTGGTAGGGTCACCCATGCTGTACAGGTCTCTGCGAAGGGTTGTCTTACAACGTCCCGTTAATCAGATACCTCACTTTTCCTAATTTCCAGGCGCCACTGAATCCGTTTCTTACTCCTCCCCCACTTGCGCCACTGTTGTAAGGATGGTATCCCTGTCTAATGTGGAATTATTTCCACTTAGTTGTACCAGACTACTTTTATCTTTACTATCAGGTCTCTCTTGGCCCCTTGTGGTATTTCGACCCTAACGCTATTAGGTTGCGAAGTCTAGGGTGTCTTTCACTTTCTTTCTTCCCCTTTTCTCATGTGAGAAACATCATGTCTAATGGTCTGTCGCAAAACACTAGGCGATTGTTCATCGTTCATGCACTCTATGAACCAATGTTTGAGGCTGTTTGTGAAGTGCATTTCTGTACTCTTTGATTAGATATCGTAATATTGAAGTGATGGTCGGCGATGCCCTCTACAGATTTGATGAGTCGAAGGGAAGAAATGTTACTTTCATCAAAATTAATTTTGCGCTAGAAGGCACCTGTGGTGAGTGAATTCTCGCAGCAAACAAACATTTTTAGAATATATAATTAGTTGGTCACTTTCCCTAAATACTTCGTGTTGGTATGTATTTTGTAGCATTTATCCACATGTCAGTAGGTTCGTATAACACTTGTGTGCTGAAGAAACGCAGATGTATTAACGATTATTTCACTTTACTAATTCAAGTGTTTTTACATTTTTATTTTTACTTCCTCGCGTACTTTTTACGTAGTACAGAGAATGTAATTCTTCGAAGAAAAAAAACCACAACGATTTTTCTCTTATTTTCAGGCCCTGGTGACGAGAAGTTTCTGTATAAAGCAGATAAGAAGTAAATTACTTCCTCTAACACGTTGGTTAGTCAGAATCTTTAGGCTAGTCGCAAAATGAGACGTCCGTAACAGTAGCGAATAAAATTAGTGTGAAAACTTTTTTCCGGGTCCTCTCTTATGACAGTGTATAGCAAACACAAGTGGTATTGGTACCTAACCTTGGTAACATTAAAAATGTTCCCTAAAGTGGCCCCTGTTTCACCTAGCCCCGTCCGCATTGCGGGCTCGAACGCTACGCCACTGGTCAATGGCGTGACGCCGAATTCCTTACGGCAGAGAGAGTCCCAGTGGCGACCACCGCAAGATGGGCCGCAGTTTTCTCTCACTACACAGTTCACTCCTGTACGAGCGCTGACGAAAATGTCGAGTATTTACAAGATTTTAGTGGATTTGAGTTCTGAATCGCATTCCGAAAATTTTTAAACTGTTATTTTTTCAAAAAAAAAAAAAAACTGCTTTAAATTTCCCATTACATTGTTTCCTCGGATGTAGCAAAGAACAGTAAAGAATGTGGGCTGGTTTCATTTTCGGCGAACTCTGTATTTTCGAATATTGCAAACAACAAAAAACATTTGTTGGCAAAATTGATAGTTTTTTGTTGATTTAAATATGTTTTTTATTGATAAACGGATACAATTTCAATCTATAATATAAAAATGGATCGCAAAATGTGTTGGTAAGCGCATAACTCAACAACGCCTGGACCAA